CTGAAAGCTTGGTTTGTGTAGTGAATTCACGCCCTAGAAGAAGGAAACACGGAGCATCCCTCAGACTGTCTGAGTTCACGCTCGCACACCAGTATTACACAGTGCTTGCTGTGCCTGAAGAATTGTGACAGTATGTATTCACATTATGCACGACATTTCTGGAATCTCAGCTTAAAAACTGCATTTTCTCCCTAGTACCCCGATACTCACAAATGAAATCTTGTAAACGGTCTTTAATCCATGCCCCTATTATAATTGTATCATTACTGCATTTCTAAACTTCAAAGTGCACCTTTGTAAGACACTGAGACTTTCGGTTTAGTGGGTGATAGGGTATTGGGATGCTAAATGGTAAAATTGTCCTTGAGAGTTTATATTCAAGAGCCTTTCAGAGACCCCCAAATCCTGCAACCATAGAGCTAAGCACAATTTATGTGGAGCAGCCACGCAGAAAATCTTCTTCCAAAGCCAAATTCTCTTATTGATGTAAACTGTGCTTTGTCTCTCACCTCTTTTACATTCCCTCTCCTGCACCTCTGCCCCCTCCCTCCCTCCACGAAAGGGGATCATCCTTTGCTTACTGAAATTAGCCCTCTAAGTAGTCTGCTCTGGCCTTTGTTGTTTCTCTTGCTCCCCAGCGATGGTCAGTCACATCCCTCCTGAGGGACGATTCAGCGGCAGCGGCGGAGCCAAGCGTCTCTTGGATGAGATCAGTTTCTTGAGCTGCTCTGCTCCTGCTTTCTGCTTGTATTTCCTAGCTCTGTGCTTGTCTCCTGGTTCCAGACTATGCTCCTTTCCAGGCTACGTTCCTGATGCTGAGTAGCAAAAATGTGCTCCCAGGTAGTTAAACTTCAGATCAATTAACAGGGCCGTGGCTTTGGCCAATACACAGGTTAAACGATGATTAGGCTAGAAGCTGAACTTCCCAAGAATTGCCTCTCCGTCTCTGGCAGCCATCCTAAAGCCCATTTCATTCTCCAGCTCTGTCTTTTCTGGTTTTCATAGTTTCCCGATTTCCAATTTTCTTCCTTTCTGCTATTGCACTTTGTCTCCTTTCCTTTTTTTTTCTAATTTGCTCACTCACGCTGCTTTCCACCCCACACTTCTCTCCGTTCCGTCTTCCACACAGGGAATATGCTGGTCCCCGGCCCTTGTTATCCCTGGGCTTGCTATCCCTCACTCCCCTCTCACGCCATGCCTAAGCTCTTGAGACACTAAGTTTGGTCCTTTGTACACAGCCAAAAGGCTGAAAGGAAAAAACTGCCATATATAAACTCATATAGATCCAAGCTGAAATTTCACTAATACTGTTTGCTTTCAGCTCTTTTAGCTCATTTTTCATGTGTGTGTGTTTGCTAGTGGAAAAGTGAAACTGAGAGCTACCACCTGTGTTTAAGACCTAGTTTAGTAAGGGGTTAATCATGTGTTGAAATCCCTTTGTATTCAGGGAAGAGCATACAAGGGTGCTGGGCACTGCATACATCCTATGTTTTCTAGATTTGGGTAGTGGTCTGCCTAAATGCATGCCTGTAACTACAAGTTCTCTTAAGCTAGCATGCTTAGATTTCTCCATGTGCTTTCCTGAATTTGAGCCTCAGCTGCTATTGAAAGGGAAGTTTCTGTTCTGAAAATAGAAACTGATGATAAAAGGACTCCAAATAAGCAGAGAAACCTAAAAGGAGAGGGCCTTTTAGTGATACATTTATTTTTTTTTTAATTAAAGAATTATGTATTCCATACATATCTATATCTCTGTCTATAATCTTTCAAACCTAATCTTTTCCCTTCTCCTTCCAGCTTCTTTTATTTCTCTTAATAGAAACAACTTTTTGCAGTGGAAGGATACATTGAATAAAATGATTTTTTGCGTATTGTTTTAAACAAAATAAAAGGAAGTCTAAAATATAAGTTTCACAGTCTAATAGCAATAAACCACTGTGAGATATCTACACATATGTTCCTGGCACTTTTCTTGTGTGATAGAAAGCAGATTCTACCAGGGCCTCGCAGTTAACTCCATGCCTAATACAGCTTATCATTTTTTTTCCTCTGAGTCCTGCATCTGATCATGCATAGCTGTAATGGTTCAACCCAGGATTTTCTATCCTAACAGTCACTCCTTTGATATGGCAGTATGCTTAACTTCCACATAGTATAGGGAAGATGGTAGGTGACTCATTGTTCTGAATAACTAATGCAAGCAAAGCAGTGCCCTAGCTCTAGCATAAGTGTAAATTACTCCCTAGGAAAAAAAACAAAAAACAAAAACAAAAGCAGTCACCTCTTCAGGTTTACTTCAGCTCAGGGGAGGTGGTGGCAATACTGTATACAGCTTCATACTAGGCAAGAAGGGTCAGAATGACATTTCTGCGGCGTGCTGACCGTGTGGTTCTTACCCTAGACATTTTCTCAGATGAAGTCTCTTTTGAGCATCCACATGCAGCTAAAGGAGGCAATAATACTCACTGCCAATGAAATTAAGAATTTCTACTGGCCCTAGCTCTGCTTTCAGGTATGCTAAGGAGAAAGACCCCATAATGGCTTGGGGGTTAGGCTGCAATCAGGAAAACTCCACTGCAGTTCCCTAGCCTGCTGGCCTGCGTGATTTGAGCCAAATGCTCAATGAGTCTCTGCCTCCTGCACTTCAGTATCTGTGAAACAAGGCATTTCACTACAACCTGTGGTGCTAAATCTTGTAATGCGCTCAGAGACTGTAGTCAGAGGCACCACAGACAATATAAGCAGTAGCTGGAAGATCTACCAGCAAAGTTAGCTGATGCCATAGATCTGACACAGATGTCTAAGTATCTTGGAAAGAATAGGAGCAAAGAAGGAAGAAGTGAGATCTTCAGTTTAACGATAGTTTCCCTGCTGAAGGACTGTTCAGTAAGTGTGGAGGTGTAAGATCAGATATAGCCAACTGGAGTGCGTCTCTCCTATCTTTGAGAGCTCATTTTGTAACATAATGCATGGATCTGCCACCTGCCATCTTCCCAAAATCTCTCCCTGTGCCTGAATTGCCTGTAATGAGGTAGTAAAGATTATACACCTTAAAGGGCTAATCTGCACACTGAGAAACAGCAGATCAAAGGGGAATTTAGGACAATAAATAATGTTTTCCTTCTTTAAAAAAAAATTATTCCGGGAAACTGTATGGCTCAGGGGATTGGTATTGGGATATGGAGCCTTTCATCGCTGATCCAAACATGACCCAAGTCAGTAGTGACCAAAAAAATGGTTACCGTTTGGCAGATCCTTTGTGGCCTAGAGTATTTGAAATGAGTTGATGGTCTTAATCCAGTTCCCAGTGGACAACTATCCACATCACAGAAACCACCACCACAATTGGCACCCTTGTTGGCAGTCTTAGCAGGCTGGCCAAGGATTAAATAAGTACAGAGACTGAGCCACCCGCTTTTGCCTAGCTAGAGGTTGCCCCTCTAGGTCATGGATAAGACACAAGGATGGGGTGGAGTGGGGAAGCTCACACACCCTCTGCTTGTGCTGTACTGGTTTTGTGGCTAAGGAGAGGAATTCATTTTCCAGGGCTGTGATTCAGGCACCCTTCGTGAGCGCTATATTCATGTACATGCGTTTAAACACGAATTTGAAAAGGAATCAGAAACGGAGAGATTTTCAGGATTAGCTCTCAAAAACACAAGGGGCTACATTCATTCCTGGGGAATTCATCAAAGTCAGGGTAGTTATACTGGGGTTGCATTTAACAAAATATGTACAAGCAACCTGTAGAAGTGGCTCCACTTTGAGACACATTCCTTTCACTGTGCCGTGTTGTCAGTCATCGCTATAATTATCTCACAAGATGTCTTAGAGTGAACATAATCTATGCCAGCTATTGTCAGAAAGCTAGAGGTGATTTCTGTACAATAGAAACTAGCATGTAAGCAAAGATCTGATACACCTCAGAAAACATATTTATGCCGTATGAAGAAAAGCAAACTGAGGACTTTTGTTACCACTGAAAGTGTTTCTATTTTCAGAGCGGTAAAATACTCTCTGTTTATCCTTACCCAACAGGGGAGATCTTCCCCAGTGAGCTGATGGACTTATATCATTGCTTTCCAATAAATAGCAGTGTCTTAGCAAAGTGCTGCAAGCCAAATCCTGCAGTCACTCAGGCAAAGTTTGAACAGAGCCAAAATTTACAATTATGTGTATGGGGCAGCACTTAACCGGCTGAGTAGAGGGCAAATCGCACAAACTTTGCACATGTTTCTCTGTACAAAGGTATAACGAGAGATCATCCCCTTCTCGCAGCCTAAGCAGGCAAGGTTGGAGTAGGAACCGCACCGCGCAGGGTGAAAGATTTCTCCAAAGACGTTGTGAGGGACCTTGGCAGCACTGGAATTCAAAGCCAGGTCTGAGCTGTTTCTCCTTTATACATCTTTCCATACTACAGGAGATGTGGCAAGCAGCTCTGCCCAAGAAAAGACATGGGGAAGCAACTCTGCAAGCAGCTGCTCCCTGCTTCCTATTCACCTCAGTGGTAGCCAGGAAACCTCATCACCTTGGAGGGTTTATAACACCAAGTCTTTAATAAGAAGATAGGAACCTGTGTGAATATCTGTCTACTGTTTTTCCCTGCCTGACTGATTGCAACACATAGCTTCTATGCCTGCCTATAGTGAGACTGAAATGGAAGCCAGCCTACGCAAGCAACGCATTTCCTGCCTACAAGAAGGCACGGCCATTTGGTCTTCATTGCAGTGCAGTGTTTGTGCATTTTGGTTTTCTAAGGCATTCCCTGTAAAGTGGAAATTCTGGGAAGCAAAAGTCTCAAACTCTTGAAAGGTTACTCGTCCGTGGCACGCCTTAGATGGAGTGTCTGGTCCCAGGGATCCATTCCCATTTGTTTATTTGTGCCTGACTGCTCGGATTGGTGGGTCTTCATGAGAGGAAACAGAAAGGGAAGGTCCAGGTTTGGAAATAAGCACAGAACAAAGGGATGAGAATTGGAATGTTTTCTCTGTTCTTTGCAGGTATGCAGCCTAGCACCATGCATTGCCTGACCAGGGACATCCACACGCTCCTGCTGTGCCAACACATGTCAGATGTGAAGAGCACCCTAATATGAGTACTTGACCTAAACTGAACAAATTTCCTAATTGCAGTAAGACAACACTTGAGGGTGTGGTTACCACAGAAAATCACACCCATGGACAGATTAGGAGCACCTGGCTGCACCTCATGCCTCCTCATGCCCCAGGGGCATGATTATCTCATCAGGGGCCACCTGCCAAGTCTTGTTGCTGAGGAACTGGCTCTGGCACACTGCAAGCTTGGGGTGGGGAGACGAGCACACCAGGGCCAGCATATACACTTATCCCAAGTGCATTCCTTAACATCAAGTATTTACACGGCGATGGTGTCTTGGTTCAGCTCAGAAGCCTAGCTGTGCTTGGGAGTTACAGAGGAGCAAAATGTTGTTTCTAGATCCTGTCCTGCACCCCTCACATCCTCAGTGCAGGTTGCATTGTGTGTTACTGGGGATCATTACATCAGCCACAGCGACCCTGAAGTTGTCACTCTCCAGCCATAGTTTTTCCAACCACTCGGTGCAGTCTACAAGAGGCTCCAAGGAGGTGGATGAACTCCCTGCTGGCAATTTTCAAAATGTTTTGCCCTTTCCTCCCAAAAGAGGACAAAGGCAAAGTGAGACACAGGCTTTATGAGTACCAAAGTGGTCTGACCATGAAAACAGCACATAGACTTCAAGGTAGGTGGCATGTGTCCAGGTTAGGTTACTCTGTGCATGATGTCTCTGCATGCAAGTCCTTCCCACCTCTCCCCTTCTCTTTCATCCCCAGTTCAAGGCATGAGGCCTAACCTCTACAGCAGTTAGCAGATCATGGCCCGGCAACAGCAGGAAGACCAAACCTCTGCCTCTGCCAAGCCTGTTGAGCTTCTCTGGAGCAACGAAGATCGTAAAACACAAGACAAAGCTCTGAGCCCAGAGGTAAGTTACTCTCGGTCGAAAGGATCTGTCTGGGGAACAAACTTTCAGAGATTAGACTAATCCAGACTCTGATGACCTTAGGTCACAGTGCAAGAACTTCCTCTTTGATATATCTTTTGCAACATAACCAGAATGACATTAACAACAATAACTTGACCCCAGCCCTCCCCTCAAAAGCACCTACCCTCAACAGAGCTTCCCCAAGACAGAGGAGGAAAGAACAAAAGACTCCAGGAAGTCTACTAGGGATGTGCCAATCTCATTATTATGGGCGGTGCTCAGATACTGTGATGAGAGGTGCCAATTAAAGAAAACAACTCCAAACTGTAAAGCTAGATGATGTACCCTTTAGGCCATGGGAGTGGAGAAAAAGGGTTTTGCTATGAATCAGAAGAAGCCCTGTTTATTTGCACCCTAACCTTTGGCCCTTATGATAGCATCTAAGTCCACTGTATATGAAGTTACCCTGACAGATTTAGCCCCCAGCAGCAGGGAATAGATTTAAGCCCCGTTCTTTTTTCCCTGTTCACTGTGCTGTACAGCAGTGCTGTTCTCCATCCAGCAAATCCTGCTCTCCTTTAAGGCTCAGCACAACAGGTCTGATTCAGAAATGTTCCCCTTACTCTTCATTCCCCTTGAATTTCTCACCCTGAGTCATCAGTCTACAGTATAACTTGAATGTGGAAAGTTTTGTGGGTATGTTTTGTTTTCTTTTAAGTTCAGAAAAGAAAAGGTACAACCAGAGGGGGGAAAAAAAGTATCTCATGGTTGAGAGGACTCTTTTAACCAACCAGTCACATGGCTCCTTGGCGGGCAGCCAAAGGAGTCATGAGAGATGCTGCCATTCCCCTCCACGCTCCCTTAACCGTGTCCTGCCTGCTGCCCTGGCTGCTACCAGCCACCTCGCAGCCCGATGCCAGCGGCTCTCCTCTGCCAAGCTCCACCTGACAGTGCCCACGGGTGGACGGATGGATAGTCCGTGGAAGGAGGAGGCCCTAACACAAAGTCGCTTACGACTTTGGTACGTGGCTCCTTCCCCCCTGCCTGCTCTCTGAGGCCAGACGGCCACACCGGCCAGGCTGGCACGGTGGCTGGTAGCAATGCCATGTTTCAGATGAGACGCAGTCATGTCTTCTCTGCTGCTCGCGGTCAGAAAAGAGTCGCTGAAAGTCATTACGCGGCACTTAGGCTGCATTTTCTGCTCGCAAAGTGCTGCGGCAGCTTTCGTTCCCCAGCCCCTCCCCTGTTCCCAAGCTATGCCAGCTATGCCGGCCTTGTTATTGCCCCATTAGAGCTGTGGGAAACTGAGGCGAGCAAAAGTTAAGCTAGTGCTGTTCAGCGTCGGAGGCATCCATTCAATCTCAAAGCTTGCCTGTCTTCACTGCACAACAAAACTCGCCCCCGAAAAGCGTAACCTGTAGAGGGGCTATCCCGCTGCCCTGGCCAGGCTCCAGCTCAATTAGAGACGGACGTGGGCTTCGCCAGGTGCTTCCTCGGGCGGCTGCTGGGGCTGCCAGGAGCAGCTCTGGTCCTGTGTGCACACACAGCTCTGCTGCGCGCCATTAGGCAGCTGCTGCAATCCACCCCAGTGGTGAGTGAAATGATCCTTGCCCGGTTCACCTGAACGTTGGGAGGATTAATTCACTTACCATCCCTGAATGAAAGACGCTATTATTAAATAGTAGTCACATTTTATAGTTATGTCTCACTTCGGCCAGATTAGGAGGATGGGTATGATATCCGGTTCCAGAACTGCTGTGCTTAAACAATTTTAAATTAAATACACCTCAAACTGTTTTCCAGGCCCTACTTGCAGGCAGGCAGTGGTTTCTATCTTTATGGCTTATGCTTACTTCCAGATTTGAAAGCTGGGCTGCCCCACAATGCCTTGCACATAACAAGCAAATGCCGCAGCGCTTTTGAAGTGCTTCTCCCCTCAAAAAATAAATAATGTTTTGTTTTTATGTCAGCTCTTACTGGCACCAGAGGCCATAATGATTCTTTCAATAGCCCATAGAACTGATTTTGGGTTTTGTCTGACATGGAGGAATAGCCTCCTATTAATATTGCTTTCGCTGTATTTTCTTGGGAAATATGGCCACATTCCCTTTAAATTGCGTAATATGGTAGCCTGTGCCAAGGCTCTACTAGAATGGATACTGGAAGAACAAGACTTGTGCTGGCTTCATGTTTGACTCTCCTCTCGCTTGCACCAGAGTTACTCTGTTGACTTCAGCAGAGTCGCTCCCGCTTTAGTAGCTTACTGGACTGTGGAAGTAACCCTCAGTGAGAGGCGCCTTCGGGCCTGAAAAGGCAAGGTATAAGAACGTGCCCAAAATACTGCACAAATTTAAAGCGATGGCTTTCCAGAAGAAAATATTTGTGAATGACTTTGTGATGCACTCCAGATACGTCCAGATGGAAGAAGCAAATCATCAGTGTCATCGTTGCATTTTGCATCTCTCCGTACTGAAACCACAAATCTGCCAGTGAAGTGCCTGGAGTTCATGCAGTTTTGAAAATGATGCCACTGATTAGCAGCAGGGTGGCTATATCGCAAACAAACAGTTTGGGAGACACAGTACGGTCACCAGTGGACTTGGTGGCACTTCACAGAGGAAAGTTCCTATGCCACATTTTAAACATATGAGGCTAGCTCTTGCCCTCAGCTGCACACTTGCAATACCACTGGTTGTCCTTTTTCCTAATTACTTAGGAACTCAGGGTGAAATTTGACCTTGGACAAAGAGCTGGAACAAAGACTGCGATGATTAAGTGGGATTTTTGCATAAACGTGAATTTTATCCTTTGTGGGTTTCTGCCACCAAGGAAATCTGATCCACAGGCATAGGCTGAAAAGAAAATAAATATTCACAACTGTAGCTACTACATGGGTACAAACTGTATGTACTATTATTTCCAGAAAAAGATACAATAACTCTCTAATTTAGCCTGTCTTCAGATTGCCTAAAGAAGGTACGATTTTGCTGTAAAATAATTAATAGGTGATAATTGCCTTGCTGTCAAATCCTAGTGGAATAACTTTTTTTGTTGTTTGTTTCTAATGATGAGAGCAACTACTTTGGCCTTAGCTGGCTTAATTTTAGAAAGCTGTCTATACTTGGTTAGAGCTGAGTGAGGTAGCTAACTTTCAGCTTCATTGCAGTGTCAAGAAAACTGCCTTCTAGAAGGGGCGATAAAGCCTAAGAGAAACGTATGGAAAAGATCATTTCGGGCTTTGTATGAAGATTGATCCGAACAACTTTTAGACAGTAACAGAAGTCGCAGAACTATATTGCATACGGGCAGACAACTATCCTAAGAAAATACTTGGACCTCCTGTATCTTGAATTTCTTCACATTTGCATAAATCAAAGTATTTGTAATGCTCCCACTGCATGATTTTGGCAAGAGCAAATGCATAGGAGCTGTCTTGACGAGAAGTAGCCACCAAGTGCTATGCAGTTCTCCACAGTTGGGGGGAAATGTATCCTTTTACCTTTTGGGGAGGATTGAACTGAGAGTAAAAGAGAGAGAGCGCTAATAGCCCTTAAAGGACTGAAAAAGACTCTCTGGGAGGCCGCCATCCCTGGCTTTCCTTCCACAGCGCTTCTGCCCCTGAGCTCTCGATCTTTCTGAGCCTCCCAAGTGATTCTGGGCTTGTAAATCTGCAGCAGCCAGTGACGCGTTTGTTCAGCTCCTTGCCAACGTATTCACATGTGCACAGCAAAACCCCAGAGCCCAGAAGCCATGGATATTTTTCTTTGGCGTGGATATTCTGGGATCCACCGTTCTCATGACTAAAGGCCTGGCTAGTGCCCAGTCCCATTCTAAGACTGCAGAGAAGGAGTCTGGGTGGGGTTTTGTTGTTGTTGCTTTTTGGGTTTTTTCCATAGCTCTTCCATGACAATTGCTAACATAACACTAGGAAAGGTATATGCTTGAACTCAGGCAGGTCGGGGTAGTGTTGCAGAGACGGCTCGTGAAGCGTCAAGGAGGAAGGAAGAACAAAAAGAATGAAAAGAATCAAGCAGACAGACGGACCTTGAGGTGCAAAAAGCCACCTGTCAGGTGCAAGTAGAGGTGTTTGGCGAGCATGTGTGGAAGATACACTGGTGAGAGTCCACTGAGGGTGAAATGACGTGCAAAAGGTTATGAGCTGAAGAAATTGGGCTCGCAACATTGACCCGTTCTGTAATGCAGGGTGTCAGCGCATCTGCAAACGCCTTTGATCTATAGCTCTTCCCAGTTTTCTGTTGCTTGCAGTGACCTGGGAGGACTAAGAGGTTAGACTGTATTTTGGGGGTTAGGAATCTTTCCGACAGTGTTTCAGTCTAAATTATGCAGCCCTACGGACTGAGAAAACACTTGGAATCATTCTCCCTTTAGAAAGCCATATTGCCAGGTATGCGTGGCATATCTTTCCAGTTGCATAAAATGTATTTGTCAGTCTAACTGTATAATTGCAGCTTGCTTTGTTTAGCGCTTTAACACCTCCTTTGAAAGATTTTCTTCTGGGGGATTAGCCTTGTTCTTTGTTTAATATGCTAGCATATCTGCAATTCATCTTACCCATTCATCTGAATATTTAATGTTACTTTACACCCATTTGTAATGTTACGTTAGTAAAGCAACATATGTAATAATTGCAAGTTGTCATCCTACCAATTCTGGATTCTGCATGCCGCCTTTATTAGTAATTACTTAAATCATGACTTTTTACTTTTTACTTTTTTTTTTAGGGTGTACTAGAAATCTAACCACCCAAATCTGCTCGCCACAAAGGAAGGAGAAAGGCAGCTACGTCCAGATGCGTTTGAATTCAAGGATATTCAGAATGTGAGTATTTGGCCTAGACCACACTAGGGAGAGGGCCTGCCCATCAGATGTTTATAGTCGGGATACAAACCGTGAGGTCTGAGCTGAACAAAAGCTCTAAGGTTTTGGACAGGGAGTTTTGTTTCGGGCCTACGTCTCAGAGAAATAATGGACATAACCTTTAAAGCTACCTAGAAGCCATATCTCTGTCACCATCACTCTACTGTGGGGTAGCTTTGATGCATGCGAAGAGCCTGTGTCAGACAGATGAGCCAAGCTCACGACGACTTTGACAGCCCAATGTGCAAGTCTTCTTCATCCTTTTTGTTCCCCCTGAGAAAAAGCCTTAATTTTAGGTTATCCTGGAAATAGTCCATATGCTTATGAGTTTCACCTGTTCTGTCTCTAAGCCAACACATCTCTGGGGGACACTAGAGTTGAAGTCCTATTCCAAATCCTCTTATAAATGCTTATTATTATAGTTTCACGTAGAAACAGTAGAGATCCCAACAGAGTTCTCCTTGTGCCCTGGACACTGCACAAATAGGGCTGAAGAGAGAGACAGCTTGCCCTAAAGAGCACACAGCTTCAGCTGATGAGCTGAACAAGGTGTGAGAGCAAGGAAACGAGGTGAAGCAGCTTGGCGGGAGTTACACTGCAGTCCAGTGACAGAGCCAGGGCCAAGGCCAGTCCCAAAACCAGCCAATTTTGTCACAGAGGTGGAGATAGCCCTGATCTAACAGGGATGGGAAGAGTGGGCCAGATGGTGTAGCCATGACTACTGTTGCGTCCGTCACACGGATTGGTGTTAAAGGGGATGCTGTAAAGAGCCCACCGTCCTCTTGAGGGGGCTGCACTTAGGAGCATGCTGTCCCTTCTCTGTTTGTGCGGCTCCCTCCCTTCTGCCCTGCACAGATCGAAAGACAAGGTTCAGGGACTGCCTCCAGCAGCCCTAATCTTTAGGGATTAAGCAAGAGTATTTTCCTGAAGGCACATGAAAAACACATATTCCTTCTAACCCACTTCCCACGAGTGTGGAGAAGCCCCTCTTGTAAGGTGGATTTAGTACAGACATGAGAGCATCAACAGAACAAATCCAAAACAGAGATGCATTTTTCTCCCTCTGCATTTTTGTAACCAGCTGGTACAGACAGTCTGCTCCTTAATTCACATTATTTACTATATTTTTGTGCTAGAATATGTAGTTGCTTTGAAGAGTTGTGCTGCTATTGCTATGTACACACAGGCTCTCTCTTCTACGGGTTATTCCCAATCACTTTTTAGCAAATAAATGAATTAACTCTGTCTATATACCAGTGGATAATCCCCCAAATAAGCTTCTTAAGAACGGAATCTCATGTTGCTAGTGAATGCATCCAACCCTACGGAAGATGAACAGTGAAAGGCGTACACAAATGGAAAGTTAGAGTAGCACCATCTTCTTTAGAAGAAGCTAAATATATATCTATATATGTGTATAGACACATGCACACTCGAACATGCACTGCAAGAAATGGTGCCAAACTGTATTATGTATAATCCTGTTTTTTAGACCTTTATACTAATTACATCGATATTATTAAATGTCAGTTTTATACTTCAAATATGTAATTGGATTACCAAAATATGTCCAGAGCATTAAAACGCATCAATCATCCTACAACCAGCTATTTTATCTGTAGTCAGTTTTCTTTTTCAAAAAGTCATAGACTAATTGCTTCTAGTTGTAAAAATGTTTACAGTGGCTCAGAGGGCCAAAGGTTAGTAGGCAAGCGCACCGAAAAAGATGACTTTTCCAGATAGCGTACTTACAGTATAGAAACCGATTTTGTAAAGGAGTGTGTTTCTTGAAATTAATTCTGGGGGGGTTGTCTATTATAATTTCACTTTCTACCCGGCTGTCGCACGCAAAACACTGAGGCCCCGGTGCTTTTTTCATTCCGACGAAGGGATTTTTGTTTTCCAGCTTTTTCAGCAGAATAAACGAGCCGTTCCCCGCCGCTCACACGCACCGGCGCAGGCGGCGCACGGAAACCCCGCGCTCCGTTTGCGCGTCCACTGCAAATTCCCCGGTTTGGTTTAGCTTTTTTATCACTAAAGTACCAGCAGCTCCGAAGATGAGGAGTTGTTCGCAGAGCCAAAAGACGATCGAGATCTCGGGCAAGATTAGCGTAGCCATTGACGGTCCCTGAGAGTTGACTAAACAGCAGCTTGGGAAGCATCCTCCCCTCCAGAGAGCGAGGGCTAGCAGAAACAGACACCAGAAGATAATACTCGAACCGGCTCTACTATGCTTTAATCTTCAAAAGCTACCATTAGTAAGCCAGAGAAGTATATTTACCCACAAGATAAACACCACAAGTTCGCTAGGCTACTATCCATTAAGCACTGAAATAACTTCTCTCTTTTAACTTTGAAACGCGAGGAAGGCGCAGCAGCGCGGCGTGCCCAGCTCTCGCTGCCTGACGGCTCCGCGTTTGGCGGAGGGCGAGGGCTGAGCCGCAGCGAGCCCC